GACCTGGGATCGAGTCCCACGTCAGGCTCCCTGCATGAAGCCTGCTTCTCCCTCTGTCTCTCTCTCTGTCTCTCAGATAAAAATCTTAAAAAAAAAATAAAGTGAGGTAACAAAATCTGCCCGACCGGGATGACACAGGCCTGGGAGGAGCAGATGTGCAGCAGGCCCTTTCAACTTCCATCTTTGCAAAGCTTCCAGTCAGCCCCAAATCTAACCATTCTAATCACAGGTCAGAGATGAGAGGAGAGGCCAGGATTATCCAAGGCCCTGCTCAGGTGATCCTGCTCCCCACACCAAACCCCAGGCTCCCCCAGGCTGCCACACTCCTGCACTGTGCATGAAGAAGTGCCTAAGATCCAAGGCAGGATCCCATCAATCAACTCCTCCTGAAGACCTCAGCCACCAGCCAGGGCCTCCTGAAGACCTCCTTGCCACTGACTCTGTCCTAGACCTGAGAGAGACGGACCAGCCGAAGGTCAGCCACAGGCAGATGAAAAGATAAAGAAGATTCCAAGCCTGTTAGTGATGAACGCCAAAGGAGCATGTGATCTACCTCCATGGACGTGGCCATGCCAGATGACTGGGAGAGGACAGGCTATATGAGGTCGCGCATTTCCTGCCAGGACACCTGCCCCCCACCCCGGAACCCTCTCAAGCCACACCTCCACCTGACAGTCACCGTGGCTGCCCACGGCCCTCAGATGAAGTCCAGTGTGTGCATCTGCCATCTAAGGCCTTTTGTGAGCCGCCTCCTACCTTACACTCTTGAGCACACTCACAGAGTGTGACGTCATTCTCACGCACCAGGGACCCCCAAGAGCTCACCATCATTTCTAAAGCCCAACCAGACCTCACGCCTCCAGATATTTGCACATGCTGTTCTCTCCACCTGGAATGCCCCTCCCCACTTCTTTATCAGAACCAACTCAGAAGTCACCTCCCCCTGGAAGCCCTCCATGCCCCCTGGCAGAGGCAGCTATTTCTACTGGATTTTCTTCTTGTAGTGTCTCAAGCCTCCCAAAGAGTGTGTGTCACCGGACCAAGAGCGTCTCTGATGGGACATGCAGGCTGATACCAGGCACGGACTTGGCATTTGCAGAATGAATGACTGAATGCCGGCGCTGGCCAGAGGCTCTCTCTCCACTCTGGACCCCTTTCACCCAGCCCACAGCTCCAGAATTTTGATGCAGGATGGCTACGGTACAGTGATCTGGATGGGAGAGGGGACGAGGGGTCTCATCTCGAAGCTGCTTTGTTCCCAAAGCAAGCTCAGGTTTTACGCTCAGCGTTCCCTGGGATGGTTGAGGGTGCTGATAAAAATGAGACCCACCCACCCCCACCTTGGGGCCACAGCGACCTAGACAGTAAGCCACGGAGAGTACACTGAATGTGGACCCCACAGACCTCCAGCCTGTGCCTCATTCTGTTACCTTACCCACCCTACTCACAGAATCCTGGGCCAAGGCCCTTCAGAAATCACCCCTGAAAACGCCAAAAACTCAAACATTTTAGCATTCTGTTTTGCTCAAATTGAACATTATAACAGCAACAACCCTCTCCTCTACCAGCGCCAATATTCCTTTGCCACAGGTCAGATTGACGACCCTCTAGAAGAGTGCAAAGTCCACAGACAAGGTGGTCCTTTACATGAAACCAGTTAGCTCCCTGCCGGAGCTCCATGCCCCCTCGTGGCTCCAGAACAAAGGTGCCCACCGATGGGCTGCAGTCCTGGCATACCTCTGACCAGGCTCAGCCTCCTCACTGCACCGGGGGGACCAAGGCAAGGGGTGGGGAAGCCCAGAGGCAGCCTGTTCCTGGCCCCCAGCCAGCATCACCTGGGTCAGAGGCAGCAGCTCCAAGCTCACCCCAGACACTGCCCCAACTTGGCCATTCCCTCCTGGCTCCAGGCAGGAAAGGTCCCAGTCAGTTGAGCCAGAGGGCTCGCCAGCTCCCTCCCCATGTAACCAACCAAAGCGCTCAATTCCTGCTGTGAATAACCACCCTACCAGGTCTGGGGGTCAGTGGGCAGGGAAGGGGCAGAGAGGGGCAGAGGAAGCCAAGAGGAGGTGCCGGGGGACCTGCTTCTGCCCCGGTGGCTCAGGTTCCAGGGAAGATCCAGGTTTGGAGAGGCCCTGAAGCTTTACAGGATGGGGGTCCCTCTTTCAGAAATGAGATCTGTCTTTCATAAATTCCATGAAATCACAAGCCCACGTGTGCGTGTGGCTAGGGCCACTCCAGGAGAAAGAAACACAGGAGTTGTTCTGGACAGAGTGACCAGTCATCCAGGTTTGTGTGAGATGAAAGGGCTCTTAGGACACAGGACTTTGGGTGCTAAAGCTGAGACAGTTCCAGCAAACCGGGATGAACTGGTCACCCCAGCCCTGGAGCTCAGGCTTTGTTAGCTTGAAGGTGAAGCCTGATGCCTCCCTGACCCCAAGGTGGGGTGCCCAGGGAGCACCAGAGCAAAGGATGGGTCACCAGGTGCATCTTCCGCATGCTCATCAGCGTGTTAAAGCATGTTAGCTCACTACATATTTTTGAAAAAGACTCGAAGGAAGCACTGCGCCTCCCTAAGTGGTGGGATCACACATGGTTTCTTTTTCCTGTTTTTATTGTGTTAAAAATCATATGACATAAAATGTACCATTTTAGTCATTTTTTAGCTGTACGGTGGTATAAGTACGGTATGTTTATGTTGTTGTGCGACCATCAGAAGTGAAGTTTATATTTTCCAAAAGTCATCACGCATTACTTTTGTGACCAGAAAAAAAAAAAAAACAACTATGTTTTGAAGGTGTCAATTGGCCTGTATCAGCAGATTTAGTAAAGCTTCATCAAGCTTTCCTCACACAAAGGTAAAGTCAGCAGAGCTAGAAGGCTGTGGGGGGATTTGGGCCTTAGATGGTGGTTGGCCCGGATGACCTTTATCCTTTCCAATCCTGGATTTCAGGATTGGGAGCAATTGATGTGCTTTTTGGAGACTCCAAGATTTGGGTTCGAACCCTCTGTCTGTCGCCTCCATGCTTGTAACCTCAGGACCCTCTGAGCCTGCTTCCTCAAGGGATGCAGTGGGGGACCTACCTAGGTAACCGTGTGTGGACCCCTGCACATGGTGGGTATTCCAGCAGTTACTTTCCTTCCTTCTGCTTGGGATGTCTCCCCACACCCTGACATGCACATGCAGAAACCCTGCTCATGCTTCAAGGCCCAATTTGATTATCACCTCCACGATGCCTCTCTGATTCCTGCAGCAGGGAGACCCCTAGGCTGGTTCTCATGGCCTGGGGAGACCCCTAGGCTGGCTCTCATGCCTGAGGGAGGCGGGGGGGCGGGGGGTGAACCTGGCTCCCTTCCCAGTGGGACTATAGGATCCCTGAGCACTAACGGCTGGATCTGAGTCATGCCGCCTTCCCTAGGGGCCCAGTGGACTTGATGAAGCTTTACTAAATGAAGCCATCACAGGCAGAAGTGACCCAAGCAGGCAAACTGCCCACACCTCCTCACAAAGCCAGTGGCTTCATCCTCCTGGGCCAGTGGCCCAGGGGCTGGCAAAGGGAAGCAGAGCACACAGCTGGCCCACCTAACCAGACAGGTGCCCCCCAGAGTTCCAGCTCTACCAAGGGCCAGTCGGGGTCTCTGGGGAGCTGGAGACTGGCACAGGTGAATGAATTCAGTGCCACAAAATCTTATGGATGTGCCTGGGGTAGCAGGCCCGCTGCCAGGCCCTGTGGTGCCACTGGGGCTTCCCCCCTCAATGAGCTCCCCATCTGATGGGTACATGAGAAGAAAGGGGTTTACACGAGGCCATGCTTCTTGTAGCACCAGGAGGAGCTTTTAACGTTTTCAAAGGACAGTTAGCTTCCATTCTCTCTGGGAGGCCAGAGATAAACACCCAAGCTGTCCCACCCATCAGACCCTAATATTACCCTGAAAACCCAGGAAATGAGGGACCTTGAGCACCCTGAGACTACAGCTGGCCTCAGGTGTAGCCCCTTGGGGTTGCTGACAGTGACCCTGCCCAGTGTCCCCAGTCCAAACCCTTCTGGTGTGGGCCCACAGGAACAGGCCCCAGGCCTGCAGAGCCTAGACCCTCTAGTGAGGGTGTCTGGGTAATGGCTAGGAAACCCGAGGGAGCCCCAGGCACCCCCTCCCGCAGCAGGCCTTCTTCCCCTGGGGTGCCGTCCAGACCATCTGAACCCCTCCCTCTCTGCTGGCAGTCCTGTCCCAGCTTCCTCCCCCACAACCCCAATTCTGAGCAGGGACCCCCTACTGCTGGGGGAATTCTGACCCCCACCAGGCCTCTCTCCCCTATCTTCCTCCCACAAGCATCCAGGTGTACTTGGGGGGGGCGGGGCGCGGTCATGGCTTGGGCGAAATACCAGAGCCCAAGGTAGCTCCTCCCACCTCTCAACAAATCGGGAAACTGAGGCATGAGAGAGAAGCTGCCGCTCCCCACCTCGGGACGCAGCTCTTCTTCCCCCAGGAACGTTTCTCGGGTGGTTCCCGGCCCAAGGTCACGCAGCTGCCGGGTGGAAGCCAGGTGTCCGGCTCCCGCCGCACCGCTCCATACCTTCCGGGCTAAGCCACCAAACCGGGTTTCCGGCCGTCTCCTCCTCGCGCGTCCACGGCGGGCGCGGCGTGCCCCGGTGAGGATCCACGCCCCGATCCACCCGCCCCCCCAAGGGCCACCTGGACCCCGGGCTCAGTCCCCACGGCCGCCGATCGCCGGGTGGCAGCGCGCAACCCGAGCCGCGAGCTGCAGAGCGCGGCCTGGAGGTCACCGCGATGGGGGGCCGCTCGCGAACCGGGGCGCCGAGCCCGCCCCCGCCCCCGCCCCCCGCCCCGGCCCCGGCCCCGGCCCCGGCAGGAGGGCGCGGCGGCCGCCCGCACCCCGTCCGCAAGGCTCCCCGCCGGCTGCCGCACCTTGGCCTGGGGTCCGCCCGGGCGCGCCACCCGCCACCCGCCACCGCCCGCGCGGCCGGGCCACCCGCCGTCCTTACCCAAGACACGACGCGCAGGATGGTGTGCGGCTGGCGGACCAGGGTGTGGGGGTCGAAGGCGCCCCCGGCTTTGCCCGCTCCGTACGCACCCCCTTCCATCGTGGCTGCACCCGCGCGGTGCCCCCCGCTCGGCGCGCCGCCGGCCCTGCGCGTGCGCGGCGCCCCCGCCCCCTCCCCGCCTCGCGCGGCCGGCGTCGCCCAGGGCCCCCGCCAGGGGGCGTCGTGCGCGAGGGGCGCGGGGCCGCGGGCGGGGGGCGCGCGCTGGTTCGCGGGGGCGCGCGTGCTGCGGGCGGGGGGGGGGCGCGCGCGCTGGTTCGCGGGGGCGCGCTCGTCGCTAGCGCCGCGACCTCCGCGGAGCCGGGGGCGGGGTGGGGAGGGGCGCGCCCCAAATAGCGGCGTCCCAGCCCCTAGGTGCCGACGGCTGTGTGCCCCCCAGCGTAGCAGCAGGGGTCTCGTTTGTCTTCCCGCGCAGCATGCAGATTTCTCGAATGAATGAATGACCCGAGAATGAATAACCCCCCAAAGCGCAGCCCCCACCTCCCCAGGACCTTTCCACCTGGCTTTCAGGCTGACTTCACGTGGGCGCCTGTGTCTGGAGGCATCCCCAGCCTGGAGGGCCCGAGACACCTGGCACAGAGGCGGAGGCTGAGGAAGGGCAGCAGATTTTTTACTGGACGTATGGACCCCCCCCCCCATCCTTTTCTTAATTCACTAATTATGTATTTATTTGTTCATTGTTTTCTTCTGCTCTCCGGTGGGTTCTGTCTCGTTCCCTGTTGGAGCCAATGGTCTGGCACACAGTAGGTTCTCAAGAAGTAGACCCTAGTCCCCAGAACCACATCACAATTTGGGCTAGGCCTCCAGGGGTCATGGAAGCAGACGGGCTAGAGGAGGGCTGGTTACACCCTCTGGGTCTGGCTCTTCCCATGACCTGTAGTCCTAACCGCCTCTCTCGGTGGTCCAGGGACTTTCCTTGGTTCCAGGATCAGGTTGGAGAAGGATGTGTTTTGCTGCTGTCTTGTCATTCTCTCATGAAAGGACACAGGTCTGTGCAGAGGAAGTGTGTGGTGGGTGTGAGGCACTTCTTCCAAGTATCACCCAGGCAAACGTCCATCTTAGGCTCTGTTTACTGAGGGTCAGTTCTGTGCCAGGCCCTGTGCCCCCATTTGATACAGCAACCTCATAACGTAGCTGCTATGATTGTATAAAACTTCTAGAAGAAAACATGAGAGAAATTTGTGTGATTTGGGGTTGGGCAAAGAGTTCTTAGGTATAACGTGGAGCATGATCCATAAGAGAAAACAATTAATCAATTGAGCTTCATCAAAATTAAGAACTGCTTGGGGGATCCCTGGTTGGCTCAGTGGTTTAGCGCCTGCCTTCAGTCCAGGGGGTGTGATCCTGGAGTCCCAGGATCGAGTCCCGCATCTTGCTCCCTGGATGGGGCCTGCTCCTACCTCTGCCTGTGTGTCTGCGCCTCTCTCTCTGTCTCTCATGAATAAATAAATAAAATATTTTTTAAAAAATTAAGAACTGCTCTTCAAAAGTCACTGTTACAAAAATGAATGAAGGCAAACCACGATCAGGAAGAAAATTTTTACAAAGCATACATCTGATAAATAATTTAAATCCCAAAGGCCCTTGGGTGGCACAGTCGGTTAAGCATCCAACTCTTGTTTTGGGATCAGGTCATGACCTCCTCAGGGTCCTGAGATCAAGTTCAGCATTGGGCTTCCAGCTCCGGGAGGAGTTGGCTAAAGTTTTCCCCTCCCTCTGCCCTTCCCTGTGCTTGTGCTCTCTCCCTCCCTAAAATAAATAAATAAATCTTAAAAAAAAAAAGATTTTGCTCCCAAATATATAAAGAACTCTACAAAGTCAACAATAAGAAAAATCTGCTTTTTAGAAAATGGGTGAAAGATTTGAACAGATACATTTCACCAAAAAAGATATACAAAGGGCAACTAAGCACATGAAAAGATGCCCATCATCATGAATTACGGAAATGTAAATTGAAATCAGGATAAGGGACTTCCACATACCTATTAAAATGATTAAAAATTTTAATTTGACACTATCAAGTGCTAAAGATGATTTGGAACAACTGGAACTCTTGTACCTTGCTGGTGAAAATATGAAATGGTATAGCCACTTAGGAGAACAGGTTATCAGCTTCTTCTATAGGTAGCTTATACATTTACCATGTGACCCTGTAACCCCCCTCTCCTAGGTATTTACCCTAGAGAAATTTAAAGTTATGTTCACACAGAAAGACCCTGCATAAGAATGCTTATAGCGGCTTTATCTGTAATAGCTAAAATTTGGAAACAACTCAAATGTCCCTCAACTGGAGAATGTATAAACAAATTGCGGAACACTGCATGCAATGGGATCCTACCCGGGAATAAAAAGGAATGAACAATTGATATGCTCAATGATATGTGTTATATTAAGTAAAAGAGGCCAAGCTCGAAAGGCTACAGACCGTATGGTTCCTTTTATGTGCCCTTTTTGCAAAAGCAAAACTATAGGAACAGAAAACAGATCAATGGTTGCTAGGGACTAGAAGTGTGGCTGGAGGGCATGTTTGAGGATTTACTAGTTAGGAGCATGGGAAAATTGGGGGATGATGGAATCATTTTATATCTTGTTTGTGATGGTTATACATACGATTGACAATATATGTTTGTCCATAAAAAAGGGTGACTTTCACTGTATATGATTTATAGACATTTTTTAAATGGGGAATAAATCTGGGTGTGATGGGTGGAATCACTAAGTAATATTCAATCACTTATTCAGTAAATCTTTTATTTTTTAATTTTTTAAATTTTTTTTTAATTTTTTATGATAGTCACAGAGAGAGAGAGAGAGAGAGAGAGAGGCAGAGACACAGGCAGAGGGAGAAGCAGGCTCCATGCACCGGGAGCCCGACGTGGGATTCGATCCCAGGTCTCCAGGATCGCGCCCTGGGCCAAAGGCAGGCGCCAAACCACTGCGCCACCCAGGGATCCCTATTTTTTAATTTTTTAAAAAATATTTTATTTATGGAGAAAGAGCACATGTGGTCAAGGGAGGGGCCAGGGGAGAGGGAGAAGCAGACTCTCTGCTGAGCAGGGAGCCCCTTGTAGGGCTCCATCTGGGACTCTGGGATCATGACCAGAGCCAAAGGCAGATGCTCAACTGGCTGAGCCACCCAGGCACCTCTCAACAAATCTTTATTTGAAGCCCACCTTATCTAAGGCTTTGTGCTAGGCATGGGAGCGTAAGGAGTGAAAAATTTAGAGACTCTTTCTAACCCTTCCAGCATTAAGATCTGATGACACCAATGGATTTAAATCTCAGAAATGGTGGTATTTAGGAACCTGAGCTGCAGACGGAGATATTCTTGGGTGGAAGTCCTAGTTCCCTCTGATAGTCATTGAGTCACCTTGGGCAAATGGCTTTAGCCCTCTGGGCCTGTTTCCTCATATGAAAAATGGAAATAAGCATAGTACTTTTTTTTTAAGATTTTACTTATTTATTCATGAGAGACACAGTGAGAGAGGCAGAGGGAGAAGCAGGCTCCTTGCAGGGAGCCTAACACAGGACTTGATCCCTGGACCCCGGGATCACTCTCTGAGCTAAAGGCAGACGGCTCAACCACTGAGCCACCCAGGCATCCCAAATAGTACTTTATTATAGGTAAACCTGAGGGGGCACCTGGGTGGCTCAGCCAGTTAAGCTCCCTGCTCAGCAGGGAGTCTGCTTATCCCTCTCCCTCTGTTTTTCCCCTCTGTTAATGCTCTTCTTCCCTCCCTCTCTCTCTCTCAAATAAGTAAATAAGATCTTTAAAAAAAAAACTGAGGATTATTGTCAGGATTAAATGAGAGAATGCACAAAAGGTGCTTAGAATTGTGCCTGATACAAAGAAGGAGCTTAAGTAAACATTGTTGGCCTTCCCGACCCCATTGGTTTTCTAGGGAGGTATGTACAGCAGGTTGTGTAGGCATTTCCTTAGAAGCACAAAGTTATAAATGATGGGTAGGTGTCCAGGGTCCCCCATGAAGCTGCACTTAACACCTAGCATTGCAAAACAAACAAACAAAAACAAAACAAAACACATCAAAAACCATCTAGCAGGTTATAGACACACCCTCCTCTTCTACCATTTGTGTTTATGTGTTCCCTATTAATGGAAGGCCCACAGGAGGAAGCCAGACTGTCTTTGCAGGTCAAGATTTTGCAACCCTAGAGCTGCACAGTAATTTGAGTCCTCAGTCCAGGCTGAGCCAGGACTTGCCTTTGCTCCTTCTCTCCTGCCCCCTTGAGGCTGCTTTGGTACGGGACGTGTTAGGTCTGTTTCCTATGACCGCATGGAGTTGCCTGGGCAGAGAGATCCAATGCATTCATCGGATCTGAGTGTATGAATCCCAGCAGAATTATAATCTTAAAAATTTGCTACTGTGATCTTTCTGGAGGCTTAGCAGTATGCTTCAACTGTCTAAAGAAGGTACACAGCAATCTCATTCTTTTCTCAAGGAAGGGATGAAGGAGATGCCCACAGGTCTAATTAGCTCTGAGCCTATGTCCTGAATTCATCTAGCTGTTCGTTCAACACACATGTGACACCACTCTGTGTCAGGTCTCTAAAACTCCTTGGGATCCAATAGCACATGGTCTCTCACCTAAAGGATCTCACTGCCGAGGAGCAAAAATAAATTAGGGTGGCAGATGAACTAGGGCCACAAATTCTTTGACCCTCCTCTCATAGGTAGTAGGTGCCTATGTCTCCTCCCCTTGAATATGGGCAGGCCTGTGATGGTTCATCAATAGAATGATATGCTGGCATTTTTGTGGGCCAGGCCTTAAAAAAAGATCACTTTTCCCATCTCCTGGAACACAGCCCTGAGCTGTCACATTAAGAAGTCTGATATGTTGAGACCACCAAGATCTCATGTATCTACACAGGGTGAGAGTCCCAGCTGAGCCCGTCCTTCTAGTCATTGCCCCCACTGTCCCAAACCCTCTAGACTGACTCAGGTACCAACTGAATACCACCACATGACCTCACTTAGTGCCACATGGGAAAAAAGAATCACTCAGCTGAGCCCTGCCCAAATTCCTAAAGCAAAGTTTCACGACATAATAATAACATGGCTGTTGTTTGGGATTGCCAAG